GTGCAGCCATCTACCGAAAAAATAATGGATTTCTTTTTCCCCAAGCCAATATATATTTTATCCAAATATCTGTAAAAAGTTATTTAATTAAAAACTTTTATGTCTACCGAAAGTAGATTAATTTAACCTGCTTCAGAAGCTCTTTTCTTTCGGAAAATGTTAAAAAACTTACTTTTTTTATTTTTATTTTTTTTTATATGTCAACCAACGTCGTTATCGGTAGATCAGTTATAAGCTAAAGCTTTATTTTGTAATTCACTGGAATGGATTGCTTTCAGTAAAATTAATTCCTTTTCATGCTCTCACTTTTTATCTTCCGTTAGTAGCGTATTTATTGCATTCTTTTTGGGAAAAAATTTATAAAAACTTTTTATTTTATTTTTAATGCTGCTTCTATTAAAACACTTTGACATGCACCTGAAAAGATAAGAAGTAATAAACAAATAAATAATTGAAAGGAATTTATTAAAAAAAAAAAAAAAGAACAATAAATATTAATTTAATTTATATTTAATTGTTTTTTATTTCATTTAACATCTCATTTAATTTTATGAATTTAATTTATTTGTAATATTTTTATATTCCCCATCACTTGTGATATAAGTCAAGTCGATGCGGATATATGCAATACCCAGAAAGGCTTGAGATAGAACCACCTGTTATTCAAAACAAGTTTCTAAGTCGATTTAGCCTTGTCTGTCTGTCTAGTTTTCTTGTATTCAACTTATACATAGCAATTTTTCAGAAATTATAATGGAATTTGGTGCACCGACTCGCTCTGACCTAAGGACGAACGCTATAGAAAATAATTCGAATCGAACCACTTTCGCAACTACTGCGCCTATAAAACCTTATTTTGTGAACACTTTAAATTAATGACTGTATTAACCGAACTAGTGTAGAATATTTAATGGCGGGTCATGTCTCACTATAGTGGTTTCACTTATTACTTCTAATTAATATTAAAAATTATTTTAATTTATTTTTAGGTTTTACGGTGGCAAAAACCAGACGCTGTTGTTTGCAAAAGCAAAAGGCTCCGTTTTAAATCGCAACTGAGTTAGTTCATCAAATAAATATATAATGATTAATGTTCGTAAAATTCTTAAATTATATCGAGTAGCTTCTATAGCGACTCATTTCCAAGCGCCGATTTACTTAAATTTCACATACGCAAGTGACAATGATTACAAAGACCCCCTTAGTAGGAAATTAAACAATAGACAAGTTGGAAAACTATATTGGCCTATGAGTAAAACTTGAGACGAGAATATGTAAACATTTATTATTGAAGTGGGCAAGATACTTATTTTTCTTTTACGTGTATTAGGGTGGTGTCTGCAATAAGCCAATTTGGCCTTTTTTCGACACCAATCTGTCAAATTTGAAGCCGATATTTTCATATATGCGATCGAGCGAGTATTTACCGCTGACATAACGCAGACAGAGCGACAGACAGACAGACGGATATGCTTGACGCTGATCCTGATATGGGGTACCTGAAACTCCCTTCTAAACAACACAACACAAAATACCTGTATAACTCCATCCATCCTTTGCTGGTGGGAAGAAAAATTGAACGTACTTTTCTTTATATAAAACTATTCTGGAAATCTTTTTCTTGAAATTTCTAAAAGTTAAACGGTATGCCTAGGTCCAAGTCCCATCTCATTTCAGTTCAAATACAAGGCAAGCAGCAGTAAAATCACGTCAATCATTGTAAAAATCGGGAAAAGTACTTTTTGTGTCGTGCCAACGTTAAGCGCAGCTGAAACCCTAACGAGAGTTGTGAGAAGAAACTCGACACAGATGTCTGTCCAAGTGTCTCCAAAAAAAGTTTTACTATTCTATATACTAACACGAGTTAACTTGAATATTGGCTTACCTTTTAGTCACAGTACAAAATACGTTTCAGGTTTAGCTTTTTTAATAATACACAAAGTCGCCTGCCAGTGGGTAGGTAGTCAGAGCAGTAACCCTTTACCAAAGATGCTCCATAAACTCACTGTCTTTAGCAGAAAAATGGTGAACTTTGTCGTGCGTTCAAGGTCTTTGTTTTCAAAGATCAGTCGTACACAAGAGTTAACACACTACACTAACCTAACTATTCTGAGAAATTTCAGAGAGAGGTCGCAAGTCAAAAGGCATTTTTTGTCTATGATTTTTCCGACTTAACCCAACTGTTTTGAGTTAAATTGTGACTATTGCTCCGGAATATTTATTGTACCCTGTTTGCTCTTATAACTGGCAATCGATGACAATGCCCAAAAACGGCTCTAACATTGTGTTTAAGATCTATTGTATCCCAATTAATCAATCGAACTGTATCAATAGTAAAACTCTCTAATCTGTGTATCATTCATTGTCTTTGTGTAATTGTTTTCTTTATTTTTCAAATTTAAAATAAACTTTTACCCGATAATGAAATACTATACCTAATGATAACAATTAAATAATCCAAAGTATGTACCAAAAGTTAGGTAGCCCGGAAGTTTCTTTCGGTTTTTCTTGACACCAGGTTGAAATGGCTTTTTTCAGACGACTAGACAGATAATTAGGATAAAGGGTGTAGATATTGTTATATAGCGTACGCTTATGTGTGTTTTGTGAAAAGCTTCCAAAGTATTCCGTTTTCTTATAACAATAAGATGTGATTTTTAAAATCGATTATCAAAATGAGCACATAAGACATATTTTGCTTTTTTACTTCAAATATATATAACGAGTAATGAGATTGCAGAAAAACTTAATTCAGCGAAAAAGAACTATTAGACCATGGTTTATAAAGCAGCTGGATATTTTGGATTCCACAAGATTTCAGAGAAATTTATTTAAGAAGACATATTAATATCTGCGATTCGCCGTTGAAGTGAAACCAAAACCATCCATTTCTGCAGAGAATCGTAGCTGGGGATGAAAAATGAATCCTATACAAAACATTGTAACGCAACAGATAATGGTCGAAATCCGATGAATCATTTCAAGAAACCCCAAAACCAGATATCCGCTACGGTAGGATTATAAAAGAATTGCTTCTGCCACGTAACAAAGCAATTAATTTTGAAGCATGCTGTCAACAGCTAACCAATTCAAATGAAGCCTTGCAGCAGAAACGTCTCTGGTTGGTCAACCGAAAAAATATTGTTTTTCATCACGACAAGACATCACGGAAGACCTCATACTTTGTTCGTTAACCGCCAAAGATTTGTAGAACTTGTTTGAGGTGTGTTCCACGTCCACTATATACTCCCGACATTGCACCAACACATTAGCGTCTCTTTCGTTCTCCCCAAAACTATTTAACTAGCAAACCTTTCAATTCAGATGACGGTCTAAATTCATGTATAGCAGTCTAAATTCATATTTTCTGCACAAGATCACAAATTGTATGAGGAGGGGATAACGAGATTGCCTGAAAAGTGGCAACTTATTATTGAGCAAAATGGCAAATATAAACCTTATGTAAAAAAAAATTATTTTATTTCATAGTGAAAACCCGCAAGACATTTGCGGACCACCTAATATTTGTGTGGGCTCTACAATAAACTTACTATTCCTCCACTAGTGAATGTGAACTTCAGCGGTATTTGTTTGAATAATTCTTGGAAAGAGTCAGAGCTGATGTGATTTCATTTCTATTCTGTTAAATTATAGGAAACGAGAAAGTGTTTGCTTCTCTACAACCTGATGATAACAATACATGTACTTGCAAGTATTTGTTTTTATTATGTTGACATTTAATTGAATGAAAAATTTCATTCACAGTCGAGATATCGAGCATAGATAAGCAATACCGGGTAATGCAGCTATGAAGCCTTCTTCAATTTTTTGGTCTGGGAAATTTTTCATGGTCGGGGAGGTTTGCATTTGCATTTATTGAAAGCACCGCTCTCTTATTTTTTTTAATAAACGATGTAAAGTGAAAAACCTGATAATGGCATTTAGCCGTTTTATCCAAAATTTAATAAATGCTTAGCTCAATTTATTTCATCAGCGAACATGTGTTAGTTTTTTACTACAAATATTTGCGAAAAGGTTATGTATTCATTTTAGTTCAAGCCTTCTATTATATCTCATTACCAGAAATATGAGACAAGCCAGTGGAAGATCTGAGCTCAGTTGAGGGCAAATGCAGAACACGCCACATTAGGACCTGGTTGGTTTTTTTTTTCTGTTGTTCTGTAGATATCAGAAACTTGGAATGAAGAGAGAAGTTGTAGTCCAAGTCAGGTCACATGCGACATATGAACATCTTGTTGGCGGCGCAATAAGAGGTACGCCCTCAGAATTGTTTCGTTCTCTGCGTCTGCAATAAGCTTTCAATAACTAACTGTTGAGCGATTACGACTATCATATGGCGAAGGAATGTTTAATCCGAACAATAGGAACCTCCTTACCGTAATACGAAGCTGCCTTAGAGCATGTCATCTTTCAGCGCTTTTCGTTTTCTGTCTTATTCTAGTTCGGAGATTGCTTGCGAGCTAAACTCTCGGTCAGTATTATCGGCGATGATTACGAATAACTTAGCAATTTCGTACCAATTTAAAAGAAGCCAGAGCAGGCGTGGCCCATTATCGCATATTTCTTTCATGCATATAATGCAAGCGGAATAAGAAAATTAAGTGATGGCAGCAGAAAACTGTGTATAGAAAAAGTCATCGACGACTTTTCTTAATTAAAACATTTGTTCCTCCTTTTTTGCATTTGAACGGTACACTTGTTCGTACAAGTGCGTATGTATGTGTATCTGCGAGTGCTGAATGTGCCATAAGACACATATTACAAATCATTTGTGCACACATTTGTAAAACTATTGCTGATGATATCATGTTGTTTTTTGTTATGCTTTCTGTCATGTTTCCTTTCCTCTTTCAGCTTAATCGTTTCTGTGTATGTTACTCCGCGTTCTAAGTCATCTTTTTAGTTTTCAATTATTTTCCTCTTGCATTCGCTTGTAACCATTTACTTAACATGTGTTTAATATTATGAAGGAAAATTTCTATAATTTCCCAGACTAACGCTTCTTGGGGGGCAAATCAAACACACGGCATGCTCTTCGCAAGGCGTAGCGAGAGAAAACAGAATATATTTTTTAAGTTCAGTTAAGCGATTTCCATGAAGCTGTTTGGGTTCGTTGTTTTATGACATCTTTTGACCTTGGATGGGAAAAAGTTTCTTTCAAAAAAGGAATGAATTTTTAAGACATTTTTTTTAAGAACTGTTTCAGAGGTGAGCAACATATGGTACCCGCTGAATTTCAGCATAGGAGAAGTGAAAATACTCCTCTCATTGCTGCTATCTACGTCATTAGTAAAGGAAGGCGATCAGAAACACGTAGTGAGTGCACTAGATCATCAAATTTTATTGAAAATGCCACAAATCGCTCTGTTGGTTGTCTTCAAAGATCTTTGAAGAGC